GTGGAAATGACCCAATCAAAGACTAATATAATGCTTATGCTGTTCTCACATGACTCTTGCATCATTTTGCATATATAAGCTCACTTTCTCATTATAATAAACTAGAAGTGTTCATAGACTGAACTTGTGTGTCAGCGTGAGTCTCTTCCAGTGTGCGCACATTCCAGAGTAAGCCAGCGTCATAAATTAGGACAGGAACAGATAAGCACTGGACATTTTAGTCCTCTACTAAATCAATGGTACACACTGGACAGCGAGTTGCACTCTCTGGTCCCCTCACTGCAAGAGGAAACTGTGTCCTGTACAGCCTGTGAAGACGCAGCTCTTTCCCCTCCTTCCGGCAATCTCCCTCTGGGAACTGCTGTTTAAACTCTCCTGATTACAGTCTCTTCCTGCTCAGCAGCCCCCTCCTCTTTCTGATATAGCTGTTGACCAGTTCAGCACCACTGGGCAGCAGCTACAGGGAGGAGCTGCAGCCAGGGCTGCTGTTAGAAACCATGGGGCCCCATATAGCCAACATGACAGGACCCCCCCATGCAAAAAAAAACCCCACAGTTTACTAGACTTCAGTTATGAATGAATGCAGCGAGTGATCTGTACTGATCGCTCACTGTGTTCATTCAGGAAAGGAAGCTGCTGGTAAATGGGACATATTTACTGGAACCTTCCCCACTCTCCATCCTGAAGGATTCTCTTGTGCTAGTGCCTGCAGCTTCCGAAGGAAAGGAGTGAAGCTGGCAGAAATGTGGGGGTGGGGCTACCTGGGCCCCCCAGTTGGCCTGGGCCCCCTACAGGAGGACTGGTGGTACCCCCTTATCCATGGCCCTGGCTGCAGCCACTGTTTCTCTCATTCTCCATTCTTAGCAAAGCACCTGGCTACATTTAGATATTCCTTAACTAACTTAGAAAAAGAAAATACTTTTTGTACAAATACCCCAGGTTTAATTATGCCAAGTGCAGTGAAGCTGTCATGGAGATAGTCCCTGCCTGGCATCACAGAACAACTGCCTGGCATTACAATACAACACTGAGGAGACATTACAATAGCAGCACTGCTGTCTGGTATGTTGATGACAGCCCATCACCTCATAGTTACATAGTTATTCTGGCTGAAAAAAGACAAAAGTCCAACCAGTTCAACCATAAAAAAAAAAAGTTATAATCCTACACCCACAGTTGATCCAGAGGAAGGCAAAAAAACCCAGCAAAGCATGATCCAGTTTGCTCCTGCAGGGGAAAAAATTCCTTCCTGATCCCCCGAGAGGCAATCAGATATTCCCTGGATCAACTTTACCTATAAATGATCATTAGGAAGAAGAAGAGGAAATCCCCTCATGATGATCAGCCAGAAGATTCCTAGATTTAGATGTATAACGGGGGTAAAAAACATTATGGGTGTTTTTGTTTTCTTTAAATGTAACGGTGTTTGGGGAATATGCTTTAGACAAGAGGTTTGTAGCAAGCCACCAATTACTGTTGGCCTCCCATCCTTCATAGTCTGTCTTAGCCTTTGCCTATCTAATGGCCTGAAGATTCACTTCAAGATTGATTGATTGATTCAAGCTTGACTCTGAGAGTCTCTCTCTCCCTCTTGATTTGATTCGCACATGTCTCCTACCCAGTGTTTCGTTTTTGGATGTTATATGCCTTTTATATTGCTACTCTTGTGAGTATATCTCTTTTATTAATACATTTATTAATTGCCTACTGAGGTTGGTGCGCTTTGTTTTTTGTTCTTTACTACAGCTTATATCTTTCTGGCCTCTTGGCAACCATCTTCAGTTATCGGAGTCGAAGTAAGCGCTGGCAAGCTCTGTGTTTATCATCAAATACATTAGGATATTTAAAAACTGGAGACAGTTCAAGTTATACAGTATTGTTAAAGGATCATGACGCACAAAGAAGATTTACAAAAAGCTGATATTAACAAAAAAAAAACAAAGCAGATATACATCGGCGCCAATTACATCCTAGTGATATCGGATGTTGATGTCACTGAAGTTCCAAAACACTAGAAACATTGCAATGACACCATCTTCTGAAAGCAGGCGAGACATTAGCAGTCTAATAGACCATGGATGTCTACATAAAGAGAACCTGTTATCTTCCCAATTCTATCAAATCAGGCTTGTTAGCCTTGTCATAAAAATAAAAACAAAAAAAAAACAACAAAAAAAAGGAAATTTAAATATAATGAAATAAATAAAAATAATTTTAAAAAGCACTCCTGTCACTTCACACACACACCTTAATACAAAGAGATGTCACACTCTGGGGATGTGTATAACAGTGGAAGGAATATATAAATACTTTCATGGGGTCTGTAGGCAGGTGAAGTCTACATTCTCCACTGTAGGTGAAGGTTGTCTGGAACAGCAATGCAGCTGGAGGAGGAAGTCAGGAGAAATTGAGTTTTCCTACGGCTTCCTCGGTTCCCCAGTGCAGCGTTCTGGTTGGCTACGCTGGATCCAGGTGACTCTGGCTGTCATCTTGGGTCATGCAGAGTCTTTTTAAGTCCCCTCCCCCGGGTTTTGGCCCACTTTTGCAAAGTGGCTAGTGTAGGGACAGGGGCTGATGAAGTTACGTGACAGTGATGTAACACGTAGGTGGGAGAGCGGAATGTGGTGACGTCATTTCCGACACGAACGGCCGCAGCCATATTGGTACACCCAGTACACCCATATCAGCACATGTGATTGATGCCTTGTTTGATCTGTTTCCATGTAAGTGCGCATTTGTCTTTACAATAAATTTGATTCATTTACAATATTACACTATTTTATTTCAGGTACTTGTATAGCGCTGTCAACTTACGCAGCACTCTACATACAGTATACTGTATATTGTACATTCACATCGGTCCCTAACACTCAAGGGGTGTACAATCTAAGGTCCCTATCTCACATTCATACATACACATACTAGGGACAATTTATACAGGATCCAATTAACCTACCAGCACAGGCACACAGGCACAACATGCAAACTCCAGGCAGGTGGTGCTGTGGTTGGGATTCAAACCAATGACCCTGGTGCTGCCAGGCGGGGATGCTAACCATTGAGCCCCTGTGCCGCCCATATGGAAGCACTTTTTCTTGTCTCCCTGGGAGTGCTGTGAGCTGGCTGTTTTTTCTGGTCCAACAAACCCCTGGCAGGAGTTCTGTGCACTGGCTGATTTCTGTGTCCAAAAGTGAAAGATATATTACCACCATTGAACAGTATGGTCCACCAGTGAGGGGGATATCATCCCTACATCGCCGTTTGGTATTCCACTTAAAGGGCCCCTGCAGTGAGTGTCCTGAAACCCTTTTGGCTCCTTGGGGTCTGGAGGCATTTCAGCCGGTGTGGGATTTACTAATCATTTACCTATCCACATTGTTTTTTTTTGGTTGAGTTTTTTGTTGGATGTTTTTGCATATTGACTTTATGTTGCATTTATGATTTTTTTTTAGTCACATGTTATTTACTGTATTTCTTCATTATGTTATTGTATTTTACGATGCACAGTAATACATTCATTTGGTTTCACTGTGCCTTTATATCACCATTTTCTGTTTTATACTAGTTGTACTCTATATATGTTTGCCATATTTACTGATGGTATTTATTAGTCATTTTATATCACACAACCTTTTGATGCACCTTGTGTTATGACACTTTAGTTGCATGGTCACAATTTTTGGCCTCACTGTGTGTTATTATTGTCATTCTTCTGTGATAAGTGGTTTGTCCACTTTTAATATTAAGCACTTCATTTTGTATATTTGGCTCCACTTTCTCATCAGTTGTATTCACATTATTTCATTTATGTTATGACGGACTCATATTTATTTATTATTTCAGGTACTTATATAGCGCTGTCAATTTACACAGCACTTTACATATATATTGTACATTCACATCAGTCCCTAACCCTCAAGGGGTATACAATCTAAGGTCCCTAACTTACATTCATACATATACTAGGGCCAATTTTGACAGGATCCAATTAACCTACCAGCATGTCTTTGGAGCGTGGGAGGAAACTGGAGTACCCGGAGGAAACCCACACAGGCAGAGGGAGAACATGCAAACTCCAGGCAGGAGGTGCCGTGGTTGGGATTCAGAATCAACAGCCCTAGTACTGCCAGACGGAAGTGCTAACCATTTATCCACTGTGCTGCCCTTTTGTCTCACTATTACTGTGATTTAGTTAATATTTTATTTTTCCCTGATTATTTCCGTGCGTTTTGCCCACGGTCACGGTTTATTGTCTGTTACACCTTTTGGTCCTCATTTTGGACCTTTATTATTTCACCTTTCCCTTCACTCCCATATTCCTTCCATTTACTGATTATGTTATGGTGTATTATCTATTGTCTTCTCATCTCATTATTTGTTTTGGAATGTCTGTGGCGTTATTGTGATTAGCGCAACATCGATTTTCTGTTTAGGGCCTTCATCTTCACCTATGCAAGATCCTTTTTGGGTTGTACCGGCAAGGGCACACTCCGCTCCTCTATACAGGTGCTGTCTCCAGCTCAGATCTACTCACCGCTGACTCTCCGCTCTGACTTGTAAGTTCCCAGTTGGGTGTGCTTCCCATTGTACTGTTTTACAGGTTTTACAATATATAGCGTTTGCTGCAAACCGGAACTTTGTGGAGGTTATAAAACTGAAGAGTGCAAAATCTGGTGCAGCTCTGCATAGAAACCAGCTTCCAGGTTTTATTGCCAAAGCTTAACTGAACAAGCTGAGGTTAGAAGCTGCGTGGTTCCGATGCTAAGCTGCACCAGATACTGAATGCTCCAGTTTTAGGAAATCTCCCCCAGTGTGTTCTCTGCTGCCACGTTGCACCTACCCAACAGGGTCCTCATATAGACAAGCTGCTATGTAAGTTTGGCTCAAAGAGGTGCTGGCTTACCATATTACATAACGTTGGTTCCAGGGGCGGACTGACCATTGGGGAACTGCCCGAGGGCCCGGGTTCAGTAGGGGGCCCCATGAGATGTCCCTGGTACCTTTCATAGGCTTTTTTGGGTGTGGTTCGCAATTCATTTTTCCGTTAAACCCACTTAATGATCCAGTTCCCCCATCCACACATTCGAGGTGGATGGGGTAATCCTTCCCACTGTGATATTGTATTCTGACATTGGAGAATTTTCCCTGCCATCAGAATACAATGATCAGTGTTGTTGGCTATAGCCTGTGACCAGGGGCGGACTGACCATTTGGAAACTCGGGCACTGCCCGAAGGCACGGGGTCAGTATGGGGCCACATGAGATGCCCCTGGTACCTTTTTCATAGGCTTTTTTTGAGTTTGGGCAAGGACACAGGGGCCCCATGATCCCCTATTGCCCGGGGCCCCATGAGTTGTCAGTCCACCCCTGCCTGTGACACTGATCATTTTGGGAAAACCCCAACAGAATAGTTGTACACAAGTCAATCAATAGATCCCAACCACATGTTCATACATGGATGGCAATTCGGCTAAACCCTGCTGAACTGGCCCGGATTTTGATCCATGTACTGCCGGCTTTTATGTGCTGGAGAAAAATAGCTTGAACAAATTTGACATATGTATTGTAGTTCGATCATTTTAGTAACAGCCCAAACAGAATGTTCTCTGTAGACAAACGTGGCTTTCAATGGAGCAATATAAAACAATGGTAACATAGACCTGGTTTTCACGTCACTATTTACATTGTGGTTCTTATTAATTAGTGATCTATTGTGAAACTGTTGTAAGATGTCAAACAATACACCCCTGTGAATTCCTCGGAACTACTGTACTTTTTCCTTCCACTCATGCCATGATATGGATTAAAACGATTTAAATCTCTTATGCCATATGCAGGTTTATATTCTATATACGTAATGTAGACAATGATCACCCAGACCACCAAGGTGTCCATACAGCAGACAATCCATGCGCAAACCAAATCTCCTGCTTGTCAGAGCATTACTTTCTAATCAACTGCTGAGTTATTATGTAAACTCAACACTTCATATTCCTGATGTGTGTCTGCTGTACCATGGACTTGTATGAAAAAGTCCCCTGTTCTCTTTTTATTGCTTCCTTTGCGTGAAATCCCCGGTCTTCTTGCAAGTTCCTCTGCTTTCCTATTAAAAACTGACCATACTAAGTATGGGAGCACAGCTTGGTCAGTTCTCTAGCTGTGCTAGGAACTCAGCCTGCTCTTCTCCAGGGATCAGACTTCTGCTTCTCACCAGCCACACTATTATTATTTATTATTATACAGTATTTATAAAGCGCCAATGGTTCGCTCAGCGCTGTACATTACAAAGGGGGACAGAACATGTGACAGAACAATACCAATACAATGCAAAACATGAGGGGATCGAGGGCTCTGCTCTTTCGAGCTTACAGTCTAGGAGGGAGGGGATGGTGGTACAGGAGGAGATAGCTGCGGGGGATGGAGTGGTAGGAAGAGTGGAGGAGGTCGGCAAGTTAGCAGGGGGTGGGGTAGGCTTCCCTGAAGAGATGGGTTTTCAGGGTGCGCCTAAAGGAGTGGAGAGTAGGTGATAATCTGATGGGCTGGGGCAGGGAGTTCCAGAGGATGGGTGACACCCTGGAGAAGTCCTGGAGGCGGGCATGGGAGGAGGAGACCAGGGAACTAGAGAGAAGGAGGTCTTGTGAGGAGCGGAGTGTGCGTGCTGGGCGGTACTACTTGGATATTAGGTTGGTGATGTAGTTTGGGGCAGTATGGTGGACAGCTTTGTGCGTCAGTGTTAGGATTTTGAATTTGATCCGTTGCGCAATCGGAAGCCAGTGGAGGGATTGGCAGAGGGGGGTGGCGGAGACAGAGCGGTTGGAAAGGTGAATGAGTCTGGCAGCCGTATTCAGGATCGACTGAAGCGGGGATAGCCAGCGGCGAGGCAGGCCAGTAAGGAGGGAGTTGCAGTAGTCGAGTCGTGATATGATGAGGGAGTGGATGAGCTGTTTAGTGGTTTCTGGGGTTAGGAACGTGCGGATTTTGGCGATGTTGTGGAGGTGGAGTCTGCACGAGTTTGTTAAAGATTGGACTTGGGGCTGGAAGGATAGGTTGGAGTCCAGAATGACACCAAGTACTCTGGCCTGTGGGGAGGGTTTGATGGTGGCATTGTTGGATGTGATGGAGAAGTCAATGGGGGGTGGTGTCCGGGCTGGGGGGAAGACAAGAAACTCGGTTTTGGAGAGGTTCAGTTTAAGGAAGTGGAGCGACATCCAGTCAGATATGTCACTCAGTAGGTGTGTGATTCAGGCGGAGACCGAGGGGGTGAGGTGGGGGGTTGAGAGATAGATTTGTACGTCTATTAGGTACCCCTTGCTAGTACCGGGTTGGACCCCCTTTTGCCTACCTTAATTCTTTGTGGCATTGATTTAATAAGGTGTTGGAAACATTCCTGAGATTTTGGTCCATACTGACATGATAGCATCACACAGTTGCTGCAGATATGTCAGCTGCACATCTATGAATCCATGGATGGATCCATTCTTTCATGTTTACACCAAATTATGACCCTGCTGAATGTTGCAGCTGAAATCGTGACTCATCAGACCAGGCAACATTTTTCCAATTTCCCATTGTTCAATTTTGGTGATCCTGTGCGAATTGAAGCCTCTGTTTCCTGCTCCTAGCTGACAGGAGTGGCACCCGCAGTGGTCTTCTGCTGCTGTAGCCCACCTGCTTCATCGTTCGATGTGTTGTACATTCATAGATGGTATTCTGCATACCTTGGTTGTAACAAGTGGTTATTTGAGTTACTGTTGCCTTTCTATCATCTCAAACCAGTCTGCCCAGTCTCCTCTGACCTCTGACACCAACAAGGCATTTTCGTCCACACAACTGCCGCTCACTGATTATTTTCTCTTTCTCGGACCATTGTCTGTAAACCCTAGAGATGGTTGTGCATGAAAATCCCAGTAGATCAGCAGTTTTTGAAATACTTAGACCAACCCGTCTGGCACCAAGAAACATACCACATTCAAAGTCACTTAAATCCCCTTTCTTCCCCATTCTGATGCTCGGTTTGAACTTCAGGAAGTCATCTTCACCATGTCTACATGCCTAAATGCATTGAGTTGCTGCCATGTGATTGGCTGATTAGCAGTTTGTGTTACTAAGCAATTGAACAGGTGTACCTAATAAAGTGGCCGGTGAGTGTATATACACAAATGTTTTCCTTTCATTTCTATTTTAAACTGAATGGGCTGTTTTACAAGGCAAAGGTTTTTCATATACTTTAAAATCAACTACAGGAGAAAAGTGCCGTTATATAGGTGATGAATAGAAGAGATTTGAGCTCCTTGAGGCACCCTAGTGTTCCAGTAGAGTCCTCAACATGAATGGCTGCCTCAGGTACAGTGTGAAGATAAAGCAGTCTTGGTGGAACTCTATAAAATGGGGTGTCGGCACCATTTGGGAACCCCTAGAGTGAGTGGTTAGGAAGGGGACAGAGACACCATCTTGTTAGGGAGAGGTTGCCGATCGAGAAGGGACACTGCAGGGACACTGCTTGTTCTTTACAGATCTTCTGGGACCTGGAGCAGCAAATTGGGGGGACTCTTCAGCAACATTGAGTGCTAATGTTTTATTCTTCAGTTGGCCTCCAGGAGAATATATTGTACCATTCAGGGGTGGACTGACCATTTGGAAACTCGGGCACTGCCCGAGGGCCCGGGGTCAGTAGGGGGCCCTATGAGATGCCCCTGGCACCTTTTTCATAGGGTTTTTTGAGTTTGGGCAAGGACACAGGGGCCCCATGATCCCCTATTGCCTGGGGGCCCCATAAGTTGTCAGTCCCCCTGGTACCATTGTTGAATAATCTGCTGCTGCAATACTGTGACATTACTGAGTAATATACTGCTGCAATACTGTGCCTATTTTCAATTGTGTGAGTACCCTACAGTTTGTTACTTGACTAGCAATGCCTAGTTACTCTCCAAATACTTATATTAACCTTATTGCAATATGCAAGATATTACATAGCATCCCGCACTGTGTGTGTGATCCCTCCCAGATTGGGTACCCCACCCCAAGCTCCGCCTCCACATTGGGCTGTGGTTGCTTGACCTCCCATTTGATTGTGCCTGCATAGTTTCATTGCCAATGCTATTTGACAAAACAAGTAGCATGACACAGCAATCTTTTTTAACTGTCTGTAAAGGCTGAATTCTAAATACCACTGTAAGGGTTGCATTTTTTCTACTGGCCACCAGTGTAAAGGACTTTTCCCCCATTGACCTTGGATGAACTGCATTGGACCTGAAAAATAAGAAAGGATGACCCTAGACCATGTACACTGAAATATTAAGCCCCCATTCACCTCTGTAGATGTATGCACTGTGGAGAGAATTATCTTCGAAATTACTGACAGAGAATTAGAATTCTTAGTTTTACTCCTATTACTTTCTATTACAGTAGAATTTCAGCAGCCTGCCAGCCCTCTAATGTAAATACACAGCAAATGTTTATGGAACTTGGCTTTAACCTTCTGCTGCCCACATAACGGGAGGGGGATCAGCCAAATTTAGATTCATTTATGGGCAGGCTGGTTGTACAGACGTCAATCACTCCATTATTATGAAAATAATTTATTGTCCATACTCAGGTGCACTTTACCTAGACCCCAACACTTAACATGAAATCCTAAAACACTCAACCAAAGTGCCCAAGCTACGTCCTGCAGCACCTATTGTAGATTATTGTATTAGGTATCCTGGATTAGGCTGCAAAACCCAGGGTTGAAGGCCAATCCCTGTCTGCAGAGATATGAGGTTTAGTTTCAGATGCCCCCATTTAGAGAGTCCATTCCACCAGTCCTGGGGAGATAACCCCCCCTGACAATCTCTCAGGGGTTCTTTTGAGAGATGTCTATGCTATGTTGCTATGTCTCTGGCCCTGCACACCTGCTGTGCCCATTATGAGGGATTTTAATTTATGTTTAGAGTGATTGCAAAGGCTCAAGTTTTCTTACCTTCATGCATTCTATTTTACCTTTGCATGAAGGTAAAAAACCTCCTGTGTGCAGCAGACCCCCCCCCCCCCAAAACTTA